TTGTGTTTGATGAACTTGTTTCGATGTTGTTGGGACATATGTGGATTTGACTTTACATGAATACTTTGATCTATAATTATATTCAATTGCTTCTTGTTTGTAATGCTTTTTATCTGAGATACTCTTTTAATCTGATTTTGGCCACATAGGGAATACTGACCATTAGTCTATGTGTTGGACATAGGGCAATTGTTGTACTTACGTTGGTTGAATAGGAATAGGAAACCCTGTGTAGTTGCTACTGAATTAACGCTTCATTGCATCGCCTAATCCTGCTGACGCTAGTGTACAAGGGATAGGAAAGTCCGAGTAGTGATTAGTGATCTATATCGCAAGGGATCGGTTATAGAGGTTTTGTTAATTCGTCGCGGGATTATAGCGATAAGATTATTCATTTAAGGAATCAAACATAATCAATAGAGAAATGGGGAGTTCTATACATAACCTGACCGATTTCTTGTTATTGTCTGAACATTTATTTACTTTTCACATTACAAACTCGAAAATTCCCTCATTTACTATTTTATAAGCATTGCACAATTTTGTCTTGTTAAAAAATTCGTCCCTGTGGATTCAATCTTATTTATTACTGTGACATTATCGGTACACTTGCAGAGAAGTCATCATCCACTTTGGTGATGTCAGTGGTACATGGCATCGCGGAGTCAAATACATTTGAACAAAGTGTTGTGTTTTTGAAAGCCACTCAATACACGTAATACGATCATTTGGATTTTTAGGTAGGGGCAGTGTGCAGTGGAAAAAATATTTTTGAGAAACCGTATCTTGTAATATCAATACATGCTCTTTCGTATGCACTTGCTATAAGATGACATATTTCAGGGAAGCGCATCCACTTTTTCTCCGGTGTCAGTCCGCTAATGCAAGGAACAAGAGATTCGTGAATTGTGTCAAAATTTTATTTTTTCTTGTATAACAGTGGGGTATGATTCTTTATGGCTTTCAAATCTTTAATAAGTTTTTGGAGAGCAGAAACAACTTAAAATCTGCAGTTATCGTCACCCTCAGTATTGACGATTTGTTTAATGTATTTGTGCATAAAAACCAGCATCTCTTTGATGTATTGGATTGTTGGTTAAAGTGGCAAAGGAGGTGGTTTGCTAATACAAACTCCTATGAAAACAATTTTTTTGAGATTTTGAAGTTGGAGAATCCGATTTTATTTTGTTAACATGTTAAAAAATACGAAGGAGACTGCATCGTTGAATTGTCACTCGGTGTTTGGTTGACCTTCTTAGGAGCAACTTTTGTTTTTACCGGTTGATTCAATGGTTTCAAATATGTGGTTCCTAGATAATCAATCTTCCTCATTTTCTGTTTGATATGGAGTTTCATATTGTTACCAGATTTCAAAAATCTCTCTTGTATCACTTTCCATTTGGTCAAGATAGAAATGTTTGATTTACCCTTCTTCATCACACCATCATCATCAAACCTGAGTCTTTTCCAGTGAGTACAAACCTCATTCATTCGTATCGGACTATTATGTTTCACTTTCTTTGAAATTAGAAAGGCACGTGGAAGACCATATGTTTTTCTAAGTGTGCAACCACACTTTGAGCTATCAGAAACCACATTCTCGGCTCGTTTGGCTTAGTGAAAACAAAAATTCAATCATTCTCGAGATATGTTGCCGGCCAACCATTAATATAGATTGTTGTCTTTGAATTTGTATTTCAACATTGTGATGCTTGCTGCGACCAAATGATGTTTGTATCTCATTATGCTAATTTTGAATCATTTGGTTCATAGAGTCTCGATTTCCACACAAATCACCCTTACTATTTTTCAACCAATTCTTCAGTATAGCATGGACAAACTCAACTCAGTTAGTTGTGGTATTTCTAAGGTGTCTAACCTGGTCGGTCCAGGCACAAAATTTCTTCTCCTCCACCTGGTGCAGAATTGTACTTTCCACACATTTCAACAAATCTAGATATTTCTCACACACCTTCTTGAAAAGTAAAACAACATTAACATATGATTCTCCAGTAGAAAAATTTATTATAACATTTCATGCATCCACTATTCTTTCTACTATCACGCTAGCTTTGATCATTTTTCCGTCTTCACCCTTTATTTGTTTGGCCCCTACCGTGGGTTTAACTCGACTTCTCACATTCTTTGTGATATGATACCTACAACGTAATGTATATGAAGTAAGAAACTCCTTTGTAACCAAATTCATCAAAGCGGTATCACGATCGGTGACAATGACATTTGGCATGTTTTCTTGGTCCTTCAACAAAGTCATGCATGCTTTTAAAGACCAAGTAACATTGTTCTCTTTTTCACTCTCTAAAAATGAAAACTCAACTGAAAAAGTCTTCTCGGTAGAGGTAACGCCAACAACATCCAATAGTGAAATTTTTTACTTTTTTTACTTGTGGGTCTTATACGTTGAATCAACGATGAGTACATTGTGAAACGTGTTGAACAACTTTATATAACCAGAATGAGTCCAAAACATATATATCGAGTGGTTACTTCATCCTTGCACACTCGGTACATTATCATCTAGAAGTTTCAAGAGTTGTTCCATTTCAGTTTTATCCCCCCCTAATCGCCTTATTGTTAAGGACACGAATATCATATACTTATTTAATATTTGAGATATTTCTGAATCTTTTACGTTTCAAAGTTGCAAGTTTGTTTTTGGACTGCACCATAATCAATGCTATGTCTGAAACAATTATCTTCTCTTCAAACATAAGGCAGCGTACAATGAGATGGTCGACTAACTTGTCACACATGTCATAGTTATGTAAACCACATATCACATTAAATCCGCATTTATTATTTGCCAAAAATAACCACGCAACTTAAAAGGACACTCACATTTTCTCAAATCAATGCCATTTCGTTTGAACTTCCAAAGAGGAGTTATGTACTTGCCACTTTTTCGCATCTCAGTGTCACAAATACGAATCTTCAATTTGTACCATTATCAGACCTTTCGATTACAACATCAAATCCCAATTTAGATACCTTTGTGCGAATTCATTGGAGTATATGATCACGAACCTCAAACTCATGTCCATTCGTAAAATAGTTGTCAACATCTACCTGCTTGACATCAACGCGCCTAACATCCGTAAACATAAAAGGTTTGAGAATATTATCATGGTGCATCATATCAAAGGCAAACAATAACATAAAATAACAACAACAACGATTTAAAATTAACTCTGAATGATTCCAAAAATGCACTTTTGTATTAACTCACCTAAAATTCTGAAATGCATTTTTAGATGTCACGTAACTTTTTCAACTCAAAAACCAGATTAATGTGAACGATGAGGAATGAAATATATGAACTTTACCTTAAATTCCAATATTTTTTGCTCCTTTTGAAGTGATGAAACACAAGAATGAAGTTTTAGAGGGTAAAAGTTGATTGAGAATAAAATGATATTTTTAAAGAATTTTGAAAAAAAAATGGAAGTTTGATCATAAAGAAGAACATGCATTTGCTTCTCGATAATTTTGAAAATGCATCTTTCGAAATTGTCAGTGACATACAAAGGTGATATATTTCAAATTTCTAGTTTATAAATCCGGAAGTGCAAATCTGAATTTGTCACTGAATTGATAATTTATAAAATATGTTAATAAGATGGGTTTTTAATATGATCATAAGTCTGAAAATGCATATTTAAAATTTGAGAGACATTCTTGAAATTCCTTACGAAGCTTTTCCACCACTTAGTCGGGATAAGCAATTCTCTATTTTATTAGGCAGAATCATTTCAAGGCCCTCTCTTCCACGTATATTTCAACCTCCAAACATTGAAGTAAACTCCACTTATTTTTGTTTGTGGTACTTCGGACCTAATCTGTAAACTCATGAAATGTAGTAAGACTTTCCAGTAAACATCAAAGAAAGAAGAACAGCACACCAAACACACGACGAACCAAAACAGCAGGACACCACACCTTCCATAAACGTGTCTTTACTTATATCATGCAGAGATTTTAATATTATCAAAGCAACCAACCATTAGCATAGCTAATTGCAAACCAATACGACAACTAACAAGTGGCAGCACAACCTTAAAACCCATAAATTGTACCAAATCAATAAAAACCTTTGTCAAATCTGTATATCAACACCATAAAATTAACCAAATGAGAACCACCGATACTACTGCTAATGCTATCACAAAAAACTGCATTGTAATACCACAACTGCTGATACAAAAAAAGTGACCTAAAGACCATACAATGCTTTAGAAAAATTATGTCGTACGAAAGCTACGATTAGCATAGCTATGAAAGAACAGCTATGCTGTATGCACACATTATGACATCCACTACAGGTTGCCAAATGACAGAATGGCTATAACATGCATAAACTGTGACAAATCATCAAAAAGCAATGTCAATGTGTATATCAATGGGAAACAGCAAATGCAAGAGTTAATTGCAGTTGTAGGGATACCAATACTATCTTTTACAGTATGTGTAATATGATTGCATTTGCTGTTTCCCAAACCCTAAACCCATGTTCAGTAATACAAATCATCAATCAGCGCCTGGCATAAATTTATCAAAATGATATCTATGCCTTGGGCACCATCCTCCCCAATTCGTTTTACTATTACCTGCTAAAAGAAAATTAAACAACACAGAGACCTGAATACAGAACAAAATAGAAGCTTTGAAACTGCAATTCATCAAATAAATAATACTGATAAAACCCGCAAGATATAAACAACCAAGACTCTTCTACCAAGCAGTATCCAAAATTCTGAAGAAAATGATAAATTGCACAAAATGGTAAGGAAAATCATGAATTGCCCAATTCGTTTCATCGAATAGAATTAATTACATGTACAGTCAATCGAAAATTTGGTAACATAGGATGATAATCCAAAATTACATTGAGGAAGAAACTCTGGTATTATATTTCTTCACAAAAACATCACTAACCATAAATTTATTATACATCCTCATCAAAGCACCATGAATTGTTACCTTCAAGCTGTTAGTTTTTCACTTGTTCTATCACTTTTAGCCTCTCCTTCATTCAAACCGTCAGCTTCAGTTCTTTTCTCTGTCAAATCTGACTCAGTAGCAGTGGCATCAGTGCTCTCTGACTCTGCTTCCTTATTTCCGAACAACTTGGAAGTTAATAAAATTCCAGATCCTACCCTTTTTTTAGCAGCCTCTGCTTCCTCAGCCTCCTTGGCCTTAGCTTCAGCTTTCAACCTTTCCTTCTCCTCCATCAATTTGGCCAAGTCATCTTCTCTCCCTTCTTTTCTCAACTCCCCTTTAACAAACTCTTGGAACTCCTCATCAAAGTCGACGCCATTGTCATCCAACAACATATCAACAATCTGAAGTACCTCGTCTAACCTTCCTTCCTCACTCAGCACCTTCATCATGAACTGATAGCTAGCAACATCCATCTTGAGCTTCTTCACCATTAGGTCAAAGAAAGACTTTGCATCATCAATCTTCCCAACTTTAACCAACCCGTCAACCAACCTATTGTAAACAGCCAAGTTAGGCCTCAAGCCTGATTCCACCATCTTTTTGAAATAGCTAGCAGCATCATCAGGCCTGTTCTCTTTGAAGCAAGTATCCATCAACAAGCCATATGTATACTCATCAGGGTTTACCCCTTTGCCCTCCATTTCTCCATAAACCTCCTCAGCTTCCAAAATCATCCCGTTATTACACAACTGCTCAATCAAGTTGTTAAAGGACAGTGTATCTGGCCTGCAACGATACTCACCCATGCTCCTGAAAACCTGAATCGCCTCCTTGAACCTTCCCTCAGCACAATAACCATCCACCATAACATTAAAGCTTCCCAAATTAACAGCCAACTTAACAGGAGGATTATGCTCCTTGATCATTCTATCAAAAAGCTTCAATGCTTCATCAAACTTTCCATTCTTGGTAAGAGCATCAAGCACAGAATTATATGCAATGTCGCTCATCTTTTTTCCCTCTGCAAATGCCTCTTGATAACACTCTAAAGCCTTCTTCTCCATCCCCTTGAGAAAATAACCCTTCATCAAACACCCCAAAACAACCCCGTCTTCAACAACCCCACCAAGCAACCCTTTCAATTCCTCATAAAGCCTCAAAACACCATCCCCATCGGAATTCCTAGCATGACCCAACATCAAATAATGATAAACAAGAGGATCAGGTCCAAAACCTTTATCATCCATTTGGCCCTTGATATCCATGGCTCGGTCAAGCTTATTATTATCAACCAAACCCTTGACAACAATGCGAAAGGTAGTTGGAGAAGGGTTAACAGGAGCATCATTGATGAACTGTTTAAAATGCTCAAGAGCAGTATCCGGCTTGCGGCAATCAAGATAAGTCTGAAAGATAAGATTGTGAGTAATGATATTCGGAACTACGCCAGCTTGGGTGATGAAGCGGTGGAGCGAGAGGAGGTCGGAATAGCGAGACTGACGAAGGAGAGCGGAGAGGACAGCATTGATGGTGAAGATAGTCGGACGGCAATTGGAATAAATGGAGTGGCGCGTGTAAAGTGCAGCTTCATCGAGATCATTCTCACGGATTAGGGTTAGAATACGGTTGTGAAGGTTGAGACGGTTACCGGTTAAAGCAGAAGCGTGTTCAGGGAGTTTAGGGTTACTGGGATTGAGGTAATAGGGAGGGGACTGTGATTTAGGGTTTTGATTGGGTGCTTGTTGGTTGCGGTTAAGAGCGGAGAGAGGTGGTTCGATGCGGATCTGTCGCTTTCGACGACGGCGTTCTGCGGCGGCTTCTTCCGGGGAGGAGAAAGAGAGGAAGCGAGGGTAGATGGAAGACGGTGGCCGGATTCGAATGTGTCTGTGAGGATGTGCGACGGCTTTGAGGTGTGTGATGAAGGTGGCTTTGGAGAGTGCCATGGTGTTGTGAGAGGAAGATTCGGATAGGGTTCAGAGAGGGTTTAGAAGTTTCAATTTTAGACGATGATGATGCAGCATCGAAATGGGCCTATTGGTGTTGGTGTATAGAATGGTTACACTCACACCCCACTTTTGTATCCCACCCCACATTTTGTAAGAAAAGAATGACATTTTAATCTTGTAATCATTAAGTAAAAGATTCAAACAAAATTTACCCACTTTCAGATTTTGTTAGTAAAAATTTTGGAGTAAGCTTTTGCATCTTCCATCTATTAGTCTTACTCTTACAAGTAGTATTTTTGTTCTATTTTTTTTTTATTATTTTTTTTTTATCTATCTCTCATTTTTAAGTTTTTAATATATTCTAATATACTTTTTTTTATAATATTTTTATAAAAAAATTAATTGTTATACATTGTTTGTATAAATTATTTTATACAGTTAATACATTACAATTGTGTATAAGTTATATTTTAAATATGATTAAAATAAAAGTTAAACAGCAATAAAAATTTAATAGTTATGATTAAATATTTTTATACTCTTAGTGCATATAAAAAGCCCTTGTAAATTTTAGAATTGGACTAACTACTCACTTTATATTCTCTAAAATTCTGCAAAAGTTTAGTTTACATAAAATTTTCAAATTCTTGTAAAAGTTGCTATTGGAATAAGTACTTCGTTTAATTCAGGTTCTAAATTTATTGTTTCATTATAGTTTAGATGTTTTGCCTTATGTTTATGATTTTATTTATAAAAGATTAGATGGTTGTATTGTTTTTTTTAGAATAAAAGTTTTTTTTTTAATCTTTTTAAAAAAGTTTACTAAAGATTTAAGACCACGTCTAAATGACATATCTAATTTAAGCTTTCAATTTGATATTTGTGATGAGAAGTCCATCATTTTTGTATTGTCTTTATATATTAACGCATATATATCTATGGTCAAAGAGATATTTTTAGATAGCAGTCATATACTGAAAGTGTATGACTGATATCCGAGCCAAAAGAACAAACAGATAAATCAAGGATATGAAAGTGTCTTTGGTTTAACCGAGAATGTTCCATTTAAAATAGTTTGGCTTAAAGGATCCTTGAACGAATGAATCACACTATGAAAATATGTGATTTGTTGGGTCATGGCGAGACCATATGCTGCCGAAAGTAGGTATGATCACTTTTGTCTATTCACTTCTACAAAGCTTGAATTCTCTTAACAGATAGAAAAACGATAGTTTACATAAGTAAAGTAAACTGATTCAAATTTCTATTACCATACCAAACTTTGTTTTGCAGTCTGATATTTATCATAATATATCTCTACGAAAGTGGAGATAACTTCATATATCAACCAACGGACTGAAATGTGAAGATTGATATCCAAACTTAAAAACCAGACAAATAGGCTGACATATGAAAATAGTTTAAGCCTAAGCGAAAAAGCGCATGCAAATGAAAATAGCAAATCTTAATGGGTCTTGTTGTTGAACCAGGCCATGAAAATAAGGGGGTTTAATGACTTAAGATACGACTGTATGCTTTAAAAGAAGACATAACCTATATTTCTTTGAAAATTAAATTTTCCAAAATAGAGTTGAGAGCACTGATTTTCGTATGTTTGCGGCGTGTCAATATCATGACAAACATTTTAGTAGTTGAAACTCTGAAAGAGAAGGCTATTATTGTCATGTTCTAAAGTCTTTTATTGGTGAAGTGCACCACTTCGTTAGAAGACAAAATCAAATATATATTTGACAATACAAAAGCTAACCAAATATTTAACCATATACTTAAAGATAAGAAAATTCAATTACTAGATGGTCATAAGCCCCCCTTAACCTAGAAAATCAAAGGGAAAAGGTATTTCAAAAGACATAACTCTTAGAATTTCAAAGTGACTACTTGCATTGTTTTCCAAAGGGTTATTCAAAAGTCTATTAAGGAAGCCAAGTTTAAGTAGGCGACATAGGGTTGGCAGAGATGACCATTGATACCGATGTATTCCCATACATGAACATAGCCATGGCATATTTTTTAGATCCTATAGAGTTCATAATGATATGGAAGGATAAACATAAAGAGAAGCTTACATGACAATCGAAAGTCTGGTAAGTTAAATCCATACGTAGAGATAGGTAGACAAGTGAGGCATTTATGTTCGACAGGCTCTCCATTTATCTAGTCAAAGTGTTGGGTAGTTACAAAACTGGAAGATCGCGTAACACGTGAGGTGGATCCCATAGAATCCGAAGGATAACTCTACCAAATTCTCTTAAGAACACAACTAATAACCGGTGATCAACGCATACTCCATTTTATGATGAAGTTGAATATGAGCATATGATATCATTGACTAGCTTGTTATGGTCAAATGTTCTAAAATGGGGTGGTTATTAGAGGTGGAAATAGGTTGGGCCGAGCAAGACTTTGCCAAGCCTGAACCTAACCTTCTAAAATAAATAAAAGCCTAAGTTTGGCCTATGGCCTATCAGAGGCTCATTTTTTGGCCTAAGCCTGACCTTTTCGAATGCCTAATTAGCCTATTAGCATACTTAAAAGGCCTATATTATTTAAACATATGTAAATAAGCATTTCAACTAATATTTAAATATACTAGAGAATTAAAAGTACAATGAGACTAAATGTTTGCTTACATAGACTTATTTGAGCTTACATAGAAGCATAAGTTTTGTGAGATTATTTGTTTAGGAGAACTTGTTAAAACAACTTACGACATTATTCATAAAGTTTTTTCAACTTATTTTCACAAGTTTTTTTCAAGATAACTAAACTTTATTTTTATATTTTAATATAAAAAATAATGTATTTATTTATATTTATTAAGCTGGCCTATTAGGCTTGAAATATTTTTTTATGGCCTGTGACATGACCTATTTAACTAAATAGGCTTATAGAAAAGCTTAGGCCCTTTCTACTTTAAAAAAAGTCTGGTATGACCTTGGCCTGTGTAGGCTAGGCCGTAGGCCCCTGTTAATTGGTCTGGTATATTCTCACCCCTGGTGGTTATATAGAGGATAATGAAGATTATCTACTAGAAACTTTTCTCAACGAAGATGTTGATGGTCTCATGACCTTGAAATAATACACAAAAGAAATAGAAAAGGACCCCAAATGGAGAGCTTCAAATAAACCACATCCTTCTAAGAGGGTTTTTGACCAATCGACTAGAGATGTTAGTCCGCTACCACAAATCTATACCCTGATAGATTGGACAGAGATGTTAGGATCTAAATCTATGACACTTGATGTCATATTCCAGAATTTCTAAAGTGATGGTTTTCTAGAAGATAGTGAATTCCTTGTGACTTTAGATGAAGATGGTAAGGACTAGTCAACCAAATCACTAATCCAAATGAGAGTTATAACATTCTAAGTGTAAAACCCTTTGGTCAAGGTTAACATAGAGACCTAAGAACAACCCAAGATAACGAATATCATTTTTTCTAACCAAAGATTAAAGAGATAGGTTGGTTAAACTATTGAGAATAGAGACTATTTTACTTAGAGTTACCAATAAACGCCTAATTGGCCAAAGAATTGGTAGAAAATAGGTTTCCTATCAAGGAAGGGCATGTTCCCAACAAAAAAATATTTTAATTTGTAGTCAAAGAGAAATATGGATGATGGAGTTGAAAGAGTAATGTAGTACCTCCGTGAAATCCTAAATGAAGAAGAGACTATGAATACCCCCATTGAGAAACTATGCTCATATCTATACTATGCTTGTATCCAGATGGGATACTATCTACTACAAGAGGAAGTGTTGGTATTACGTAATATTGTATAGTTAAATACCTACTCAACTAGCCATTGTCACAAGTATGGTTGATAAAATGGGTAATCAAGCTCAAATCATTCACACTCAAATGTGTGCCTTTGTGGAAGGTCAATGGTCTGACACAGACGTGATTTTAGAATTGATAGTCAACATTACAATCACACCCTAGATAATCATGTTTGATGGATATAAAACTTAAAAATGGACGAATTAGGAAACTTAAGAGCATCCCCGTCCAAACAATCCATTTTAGTTTTTTAAATGGTCCTATTAAATTTTTTATATTATTTCACACTTCTCAATTATTTAAACAACTCATTTATATTTTTTAAATATTCATACAATTTATCAAGAACTTTAAAATAGGCCCCACAAAATACTAAAATACACTCAACATTTAATATAATCTATATTTTAATGCAACTTATGTTCAAAAAAACGTTTTTACATGGCCAATTTAAAAATGATGATACATACCTAATTATCCAAAGAATTACTATGAGAATAGTGAAGACAAGGCAAAATACTGTCGATATTCATGCTCAAATACATCATGTGATCAAGTCCTATCCATTCAGTGGATGAGTCCTGGATTTGATTGGCAACATACTTAAAAGAGTACACCATTATTAATGTGGCCACTTACTACTTTACTAAAGGGTTAGAATGGAAAATTATGACAAATGTGGAACAAAACGAGGTAATCAAACTCATATTGTATTTGATCATATACATATTTGGAATCACTAAAACTATCACAATCAATCAGGGAACAATGTTCATAAACAAGAATATGTTGCCTTCACTCAAAAGTTTGGGATAGAATTCATACATCCCTGTTATGTTTAGGATAATGGGTAAGTCGAAGCAACAAACCAAATAATTATTAACTCGATCAAGAAGTACGTGAAAGATAAGCATATGATGGCACAAAACCTTATACGAAGTCCTTGTTAAATATAATTCATTGTGATTTGATATGATTAGATTTGATATCATATGATTAGATTTGATATCATATGATTAATTTGATATGATATGATTATATTTGATATCATATGATTAGATTTGATATCATATGATTAGATTTGATTTAGAATATTTTGGGCCTTTTATGTTTTGGGCTAGTGTAAACCTAAAACTATAAATAGGGTGTCTTGCTTTGTATTCTACATCACAACAGAACAAATTTCACAGTTGC